TATGCTATTGAATGAACAATGGATTTCATAAGATATCCAATAAAACATATCAAAATCTCTGGGACACTATGAAGGCAGTGCTAAGAGGAAAGTTCACTGAATGGAGTTCATTCCTTCAAAGAAAAAAAGTCACAAATAAATGACCTAACATTACATCTCAAAGCCCTAGAAAGAGAACAAATCAACTCCAAAAGCAGTAGGAGACAGGAAATAATTAAAATTAGAGCTGAAATCAATGAAATTGAAACAACAACAACAAAAATGAAAAATTGACCAAACAAAAAGTTGCTTCTTTTAAAAAAATAAAATTAATAAAACATTAGCCTTGCTAACAAAGAAAAGGAGAGAGAAAACTCAAATTACAAATATACATGATGAAAAAGGAACTATTACGATGGATACTATAGAAGATAATTAGAAATTATTTTGAAAATTTGTACTCCAATAAAATAGAAAATATCAAAGACATCAACAAATTTCTAGAGGCATATGATATGTCTAAACTAAATCAGGATGATATACACAATTTAAACAGATCAATTTCAAGCAAAGAAATAGAGGATGCCATCAGAAGTCTACCAACCAAGAAAAACCCAGGACCGGATGGATACACAACTGAGTTCTACAGGACCTTTAAAGAAGAACAAACACCAATACTTCTCAAACTATTTCATGAAATACAAAAAGCCTATATGTCTTTTGATTGGTGAGTTTAAGCCATTAACATTTAGGGTTATTATTGAGAGGTCAATATCACCCTGATTCCAAAACCAGATAAAGACACATCAAAGAAAGAAAACTTCAGACCAATATCTCTAATGAATATAGATACAAAAATTCTCAATAAAATCCTGGTAAATTGAATATGAAAACATATCAAAAATATAGTGCATCACTATCAAGTAGGGTCCATCCCAGGAATGCAAGGTTGGTTCAACATAGAGAAATCAATAAATGTAATTCATCACATCAATAGACTCAGTTAAAAATCATATGATCATCTCAATATATGCTGAGAAAGCATTTGATAAAATATAGCATCCCTTCATGTTCAAAATGCTTGAAAAGCTAGGGATTAAAGGAACATACCTCAACATTGTAAAGGCAATCTATGCTAAGCCCCAGGCCAACAACATTCTAAATGGAGAAAATTGAAAGCATTCCCTCTAAAAAATGGAACAAGAAAGGGATGCCCTCTGTCACCACTTCTATTTAACAGAGTTCTTGAAACTCTAGCCAGAGCAAAAAGACAGATGAAAGAAATTAAAGGGATACGGATAGGAAAAGAAGAATTCAAATTATCACTATTTGCAGATGATATGATTCTATACCTAGAAGACCCAAGACATTCCACCAGAAATCTCCTGGAATAAATTAATTCAGCAAAGTAACTGGATATAAAATCAACACCCATAAATCAAAGGCATTTCTGTACATCATTGACAAATCTGCTAAAAGTGAAACTAGGAAAACTTCCCCATTTACAATAGCCTCAAAAAAATAAATAAATAAAATACTTGGGAATCAACTTAATGAAAGAGATGAAAGACCTCTACAATTAAAACTACAACACGCTAAAGAAAGAAATTAAAGAAGACCTTAGAAGATGGAAAGATCTACCTTGTTCTTGGATAGGAAGAATTAATAATGTCAAAATGATCATACTTCCAAAAGCACTATACAGAGTCAATGCAATCCCAATCAAAATCCCAATGGCATTCCTTATAGAAATAAAAAAAAAAAAGCAATCTAAATTAATCTGGAAAAAATAAGAGGCCCAGAATAGCCAAAGCAATCCTTAGCAAGAAGAATGAAGCTGGTGGCATTAGTACTCCAGACCTAAAACTATACTACAGAGCTATACTACATAACTATACTACATATGGATTTCCAGGTTTTGTAGCACCATTTTTTGAAGAGGTTACTTTTTCTCCAATGTATGTTTATGGTGTCTTTGCCTAGCATGAGATAAAACTGTATTTATGTGTTTTGGTCTCTTTGACTGTTGTTCTTTTCCATTGGTCTTTGTATCTGTTTTTGTGCCAATACCTTGCTGTTTTGCTACTATAGTTCTGTAATATAATTTAAAGTCCGGTATCGTGATGCCTCCTGCTTCACTTTTTGAGATGTATTTTGTCTTGCTGTTATCCTCAATATCCTTGTGATTCTAATAGTAAAAAACCTCATTTTAACTGGTCCTACATTACCATTATTCCATCAGATACTATAAAGGCTGCCACAGAATAGAATGTAGGCATTTAGGGATGCTATGCAGTGCTATGCATACATCCAACCTCCTCCTCCCAGCAGAGACTACGGACAAAATGTGTTTCTAAAGGTGGGATCATCTTCAGCTGCCTCCCAAAACACTGCTTGGAACCACTTTCGTCATTTCTGCCAGATTCATTAAAGTTACAACCAACATTTTACCAGAAGCTCAACATCAACTCTCATGAGTTACTGAAATCCTGGATCAGCCAGGAATATCTACATCCATTCTGAGCACCTTCCCTAGATGCACAAACTGCTAGTAAGTAACAAGAGTTGGAAGGTAAGAACAGAATGCCCTTTGTATAACTTATAGATAATTTACTGCCATAAATGTTACTTTTGATAGTAAATTCAGAAGAGTTTATCACTTTTCAAGTTCACCTCAGGTGCACTTCATGATATCAGATTCCTGCTTTTAAAACAGTAGACTTAAAACAACTTAGTTGCTTAGTTGTATGGGATTTATCTTTTCCAAGGTTTTTTTTTTTTTTATTTAACATCACTTTTCAGATGAGGTTAATCAGACACATAAATAAATATCTGCAAACAGCCAGAATAAGCCTTGAACAACATTCAATAAAATATCAAGGTTGAAAATTGTTGACTATCAGCCCACAAAAACTGTGGAGAAAGCAACTGCAATAATGAAATATGAAGACAATGACAGAGAAAGAAGAATCAAATTTTGAAGATTACCAGAAGAGGCAAGAAATTATGGTCTTAAATTGCCAGTAAAACTCAAAAGGACAATGTCTGATGCTTCAGTTGTTTTCACCAAGAGGAGACAACTTTTAAAACTGTGGATCAAGCTGAACACAGTGATGCATGCCTCTAATCCCATCAACTCAGGAGGCTGACACAGGAAAATCACAAGTTTGAGGCCAGCCTGGGCAATTTAGTAAGACCCTCGTCTCAAATTTTCAAAAAATAAATAAAAAGGGATGGGGATGTAGCTCAATAGTAAAGTGACACTAGGATCTATCCCCACTACTACATCCTTTCCCCCCCGCCCAAAAAAAAGGGAAAAAAGAAAGAAAAGAAACAACCAAATAACTCAAGTGTCAATGTTCATTGTCTGACTTTTGAAGAAAATGTTCACGAGTTTTTACCAAAGAAATTTATGATGCATTTTCTGAAGAAAAGATCTTAGTAAAATTTTTTAATTGTGGAAACAATTGAAAGTTGACAGAATTGTTCTCAAAGAAACAAGATTATGAATGGTATTCTAAATTCTGGAATTTATTATCAAGTGATTGTGATTTGTATAAACCTCTGCCAATACACCCATATATATACAATTTTTCCTATTTGTATATTTCTTTCTTTGTATGAAACTTTTATCAAAATTAAAATTAAAAGTTTTCTTTTTAAACTTTTTATTGGTACATTATAATCATACATAACAGTGGGATTCATTGTTACCTCTTTGTACATGCACATAATATAATTTGACCAATTTCATCCCCCATCCCTTTCCTTCCCCCCTTTCCCCTCCCCCCTCTTCCAGTCCCCTTCCTCTATTCTACTGTTTTCATGAGATCTGCCCCCACCTCTCCCCCGCTCCTCTCTCTATGTACATGAAGTGATTTTTGGTCACTTATAAGTGAAGAAAGAGTGACAAATCTAACTCAGTACTGTCTACCGCATGTGAGAGGTGTGTGTTCTTTCCTAGAGCTGCCATAACAAGTATCACAAACTGTGAGGCTCACTTAAAGCAACAAAAATGTATTATTTCTTAGCTCTGGAAGTTTGGAAGGGAGAAACCAATGTATCAGGAGGGGCCTATTTTCTGTAGGGATCTAGGGAAGAATCTGCTCTATGTCTTTGTCTTAGCTTCCGCTGTTTCCCAGCAATGCTTGGTACTTCTTTATTGAGTTGCAACTGCATAATTATAATTTCCACTTCTGTGGTCACAAGGCCACTTGTAAGTCTGTCTTACCTGGCCATCTTCACCTTGAGTGAAGATTTCTTTATATAAGAGTACTAATCATTTTGGATTAAATGCCCACCCTATTCCAGCATGACTTCATTTGAACTGATTTTATCTGCAACGACTAAGGTCACATTCTGAGGAACTGCAGGTTAGAACTTAACACATGGAGGTGGAGTGGGGGGACACATAATTCAATCCGTAAAAGGGGCAATTTTGACAATCATTGTAAATGTGCAAACGAGAAGTCTCAAAAATATCCTATTTTGTTATTGTTTTACTTTAACACATAAATGTTCCCGCTTTTTGTTAAAAAAAAAAAAAAGACGTCATTTAAAAGCACTAATACATTATTTTTCCTTTTAGGTCTATTTTTCTTTAACTGAGATTTTGACCCACGTCAATACAAAAAATGTTCATTATGTGTGTATTTTCTGAAAATTGTGTTTAAAAACGACGCCCGGGCCGCAGCCCGCAGGCGCCAACGCAGCGGATACTCAGGGAGCTGAGCAGCATCGCTACGAACGTCTCAAGGAGGCTGACGCAGCTCTGGAGACCCAATGGCCTAACAGCCTCGCTAGGGGGCGCTGGCTCCCTGGCCCTCTATGAAGCGCTAGCTGCGCCAGAAACCCGCCCAGCTCACCCCGTCCGGAAAAGGTTCCCACCCCTTCTCCTTCTCCGCCCTCTTCACACTGCCAACGAGGCAGGCGCTGATACTCATGCGCAAACACGTCCACCACGCTCCGACCCACAGCGCATGCGTAGCCTGAAATTGCCTCCTCCTGCTTTCGCCTTGGGAGTTACCAGTTCCGGCCTCCAAGGGGCGGGGAGAAGGGTGAAAATGCGGCTGTCTGTATCGGCCGCTATCTCCCATGGCCGAGTATTTCGCCGCCTGGGCCTCGGCCCAGAGTCCCGCATCCACCTTTTGCGGAACTTGCTCACGGGACTAGTGCGACACGAACGAATCGAGGCGTCATGGGCGCGTGTGGACGAGATGAGGGGCTACGCTGAGAAGGTGAGGCACGGAGCGCCGTTCGCCGCGCGTTCTGGCCCGAGGGGAAGAGGTCCTAGTGGGTTTGGGAAGGGAGTGGGATCCCACTCCCACTCCCGGCAATTCCTTCCCAAACTCTGATCCCCTAGTACTCTGAGCCGAGCTCAGTCCTTCCTCGCCTCAAATGGGTGAGAGCTGTGGATTTAAGAGCGGCTTCAATTAGTTGCTTTGTCAGTGGAGTAAATGGATCGAGGTCCGGCTTGAGAAGAATAAGATGGGCCCCTCATTTCTTGCTCGGGTTGGATGCATGATGTTTTGTCCTCACAGCTCATCGACTATGGAAAGCTGGGAGACACCAACGAACGAGCTATGCGCATGGCTGACTTCTGGCTCACGGTGAGTGCACTTGGTCGGCAGCCCAGTTCTCACTCTGCTCACCGTGGGGGAGGGATCACTGCAAGAAGGAAGACCGGGTTTTAAGTTTAAGTCAGTCACTTATGGGACAGTGTTACGTGAATTAAATTTAGAACCGTGTTTAAGTTAGCTGAACTTCATGCATACGTGCATCTGTACAACTGGTTTAAAACTGACTTTACTAGATCAGAGAGTGGAGAAGATCTATGTGCGTAGATTTATCCAGTACCTTTAGGAATAGTAGAAAAGTTAAATGTCTCTACAGTTATGCCTGACTTTGCTGTCTTTGGGTAAACTCACTCTCTCTAGGAAAAGGACTTGATTCCAAAGCTGTTTCAAGTACTGGCCCCTCGGTTCCAAGATCAGAATGGGGGTTACACAAGAATGCTGCGGATCCCAAACAGCAGTCAACAGGATCGGGCCAAGATGGCAGTGATAGAATATAAAGGGAACTGCCTCCCACCCCTGCCTTTGCCTCGCAGAGACAGCAATCTTACACTCCTAAACCAGTTGCTGCAGGGTCTGCGGCAGGACCTCCACCAGAACCAGGAAGCAAGCCTCAGTAGCTCCCACACAGCTCAACCACCAAGGATCTAACTGGAGCAGGAAGGTCTGTGACTCTTTTCAGTGCCTGTGATCACAGGCCTTTGGAGCTCTTTTAATGTCTGAGAAGAACTGAAACTTGAATTGTAAAATGGGCAGTCTTAATGGGGCCCAGAACCTTCTGGAGAGCCATATGGCCCTCTCTTTGCACAGTATATAAAATTCTTTACATGAATATATGTAAATTGATCTTTTTGTCTTTCTCTAGGATTTCTAGAAAATAATAACTAAAATGGTCAATCATCTAGGATAATAAATCATGGATAATGTTTCTGGATTGTAGTTGGTTGGTACAGTTTTGTTTTTCTTAATACTAATTTAGATGGGGACATGTAATTCCAAGCTGGATTCCTGAGATGATTGTGTTTCAACATCTAGCACAGGGACCAAACCCACCACCGCCACTCCTTCCTACGCACACCTCACCTACTTCAGATTTCTCGGAGAAAGTTTGCTTCCTGATGGATGAGGTAGAATGAGCACCTATAAGTAAAACTTCTTTAAAAAAAAAAAAAACTAGTACCATAGGAACTTTTAGGGGAACTTTTCAAGGCCAGGTCACACAATAGCCTCATGTTTTCTCCTCAACACTAAATGGGTTTTGGAGAAGGACCTAAAAGAATGCCAACATCGTACCACCCTGACAAAAGGGGTAGAGACATCCAACAGAGAATGTTGAAGATCAGTATAAGCTCCTTCCTCTTGGTGTAGGAAGGGGTAAAGGAGAAGGTTTAAGTGAGAGAAGCATTAGAACGTTAAACCTGCTGGGAATTTCCTGGAAGTTTTCATTGTTGTCAAAACTGGGCCTCTGTGAGAACTAAGAGATGGGAAATCCGGTTTCAGAATGGCCAGGATATGTGAGAAACAGGGACTTCTTTATTTTGTCCGCTATTTACAGTGAAGTCAGGCATAGCCCAGCAGCCTGCCACCTCCTTAGACTCAGACTGGACTAGATTGGTAGAGAGCCTTGAAAAGCTATCACCCTTGGCCTGAACGATTGATAACAGGGCCTGGTAGTTACAACATCCCTAGTAGAGTGGGAAAAAGAGATTTTATTTTAGGCTGTAGCTTCAGGGTATATTTGGCCCACTGAACCCCTCCATTTTCTGAGATGGTATACATAAGGTTGCAGGGGTCACTGGCTTAGCAACTAGACTTAAGCTTCAGTGACAGTACTGTTCTACTCCTATTTTGTCACAACTACCCAACAGAGCTTTCCATCTCTTTCCCACTACTCTGCTTGTCCTTCACAGTAGTGCCAAAAGTTCTTATCTTTTGAGTGCCCTTAATAGACCTGCAAAACATTTTTCAAATAAAACTACAATTCGAATGTTTCTCCCCCCAATTTTTTCCCTCTTTCTGTCTTAGCATGATCATTGACCCAACTAGGTATCTCAGAGTTATCCTTGACACCTAGAAAGCACTTCCCGTAAAACTACATCTTCTATGTTTATATCTTTCTGAGTTTATATTGTCATCCGTCTGTGTGTGATTTAGAAAATAATTAAGAATATGAAGAATTTTAAAAAAAAAACTACATTGGTGATTTGTCACTGGACTCCCACAGTTTTCCTCTTAGCTTCCAGAAATATATCTCTGGGGCTCTCAACAGTTCCACGAGTACTTATTAAGCATATGTCAATGCCCAACAGCATTTTAAGTACTAGCGATACATTTATCAAATGTCCACTCTAAGTCAAGCCCTGGAATAGATCCTAGTAATATAAAATGAGAAGAAACAATCTTTGCTATTAAGTAGCTCACAGTCTAGAGGGCTACTGCTACAGTGGCTTTAAGGGATACTGTACCCCTTTTAACATTTTGGCCCAAATAAAAGTACACACGTCCTATAACATTGCTCAAGGATAACTCCAGGAAAATACAGTATCAGTTTTTACTAATCTGGCCTCTAAATTACCTTGGTCAGTAGAATGTGTTCTAGGTTCAACTAGGCACTGCTTTAATAAATTCCAAACCCAAGAGAGGCCCAGAATAACTGAATTCCCTCACTACTTTCAGAGGTTCTTTGTCTTGTACTCCCATTCTTTACAATAAGGTAACAAAGTAATGCCCTACAACTACCCAAAAGACAGATTAACCTTAACAGGTAATAGAGCAAATCCATTACTTACAATTAGAAAAGGGACTATTCTTACATCTGTCTTCAGAGGAAGTAAGTCATTTTTCAAATATGCAGTTACCCTTCAGAAATCTCAGACATACCTATCCTGGATTGCCACAATAACTTGATTCATTTCACACTGCAACTTTTGCAATGAAAACCTGATCATCTTAATTCCCTGGTGCTCACTAATGGCTCATTTCCTACAGATCAGAGTCCTGATTCCTTACTATAACTATACGCCATGACTAGGCATCTGCTCAATACTCCAGGTATATACCTTCTAATTTTATGCTACAGAAGCATAGAAGTCCTCACTTTGGTTGTTACCCTGTATCCAACTCTTGATGTTCATACAATACTTACCATCTAGAGACCACACCAACTTTTACCTACTTATCCTGTACACAGAATTTTGGGTGGTTCCTCTGACCATTCCCTCCCCAAACCTAAGTTTTGTTACTTTGTCAAACTAGATGCCTCAACTGGGCAGAGTGGCACATACCTGTAATTATAGCAACTTGGGAGAGTAATGCAGGAGGATCCCAACTTCAAAGCAAGCCTCAGCAACTTAGTGAGGCCCTAAAAAACTTAGTGAAACCCTGTCTTAAAAAATAAAAAGGGCTGGATGTGGCTCAGTGCTTAGGTGCCCTTGGGTTCAATCCCTGGTACCAAAAACAAAACACTAGATCTGTCTATACTGTTTCTGTAATATACCAAAATCACATTGCATTAGTGTCCTACAATGATTGGTCCTAAACAGCCACCCCAAATTTGTCTAAAGCAGTCATATACTTCCATCCCTTGCTGTTTATGGGTTCAGAATGAACAGATCTTAACTAAAATTTGAGTCAGTGAAAATCAAGGCTCTGTTCTGCTGGGAGAATACGTTGGCATGTTAAGAGTGCCATTGGAGGAACTAGAATTAGGCTAAAGATGACATTGAGAATGGCAAAAACTAAAAGAAGCTGGGAATGTAGCTCAGTGGTTGAGCACTTGCCTAGCATGTGCAAGGCCCTAGGTTCAATCCCCACTACCAAAAAAAGAAAGAAAATGAAAAAAATCCCCAAACTGGAATCCTAGTTATATTTAAATAATCTTTAGTGATTGTTGCCATTTAAGTGCAGGGTTTCTGTTGATTTTCTGTTAATTGCTAGCAAAAGGAATCTGATACATCAACTTGTATACCACTGAACCTTCAGTGTTTTCAGAAAAAGTTTTACTATGACTCACAGACCAAAAAACATTTTACATCAGAACACAATAATTACAAATATATATAAATGATACAATTGTATGTGCTTCTCAAAATATTTACCTTTATAAATAACTACACTAATATTTTCTCTTTTTTTTTCTAGTTCCCTTTTTTAAAATGCTGATCCCAATTCATTAAATTGATTTGACAACCCACTAATGGTTTATCACTTGCCTTACTGGTCTTAATCAGTATTTCAATGACTAAGCATCACCTTCACTAGATAAAATCCAGAATTTTCATAATACAAAGGCCCTCTATCGCCTCACCCCAGCTACTTTCGACCTCTTTTTACCATTTGCTACCATCCTTCAAAGGAAACTTAATATCTCATAATTTTGTCACATTCCCTGTACTACAATATTTACCTTCTTTGAAGTCAACACCTCATTCAAATCTACATTCAGAAGTCATTTTTTTGAAGCCTTCTCAGAACTGGAGGACTTTGTGTCATACCTCAAATGGGAGCAGGTGCCCTCCAGTGTGCGGTTATTTTCCTATGGCCAAACACCTATTAAAGCACTCACCACACTATACTACAGTGTCCTGTCTACTTGCCTGATTCCCTAATTCAACCAAGCTTCTGAAGTCAGGGACTATAACTCGTTTTCTTGACAACATTACTGATACACAGTAGGTTCTTAGTATATGTTAATTAAATGAAGAATGAGCTATAACCCATGTGTGTTAGTTTTTCATCACTCTGACCAAAATACCTAACATAAACAACTTAAAGGAGGGAAGGCTTATTTTGGCTCAGTTTCAGAGATTCAGTCCATGTTCAGCTGGCTCCAGTACTTTGGGCCTGAGGTGAGGCAGAGGAAAGCTGCTTATCTCATGGCAGGCAAGAAGCAGAGAGAGGAGAAGAGGCCAGGGACAAGATATAGTCCCCAAAGGCATGCCCCCAATGACATACTCTACCCATGTTTCATCTGTTTACACTTCGTACCACCTTCCAGTTCCATTCAAATGGATTAATACACTGATGAGGTTAGAACCCTCATGATTCAATCATTTCCTAAAAATCCCACCTCTATGCGTTACTGCATCCAGGACCAGGTCTTCAACACAAGAGCTTTTGGGAGACATTCCAGATCCAAACCATAACATATTCAACTCTATCTGCAACTTACAAAACAATAAACACAGTACTATGTGCAGAGACAGGGCTAAGCTACACTGCTGCATATCCAAGACAAAAGAAATGATCTCCTTCCTCTTCAGGGATTTGAATGCTGATAATTATTGTCAAAAATGTAAGCATATGTATAATTCATCCCCCACACATTTCATATTCCAATTTCCTGGAATATTTCTAACTAAAACACAGGCAGAAAACACCTATACATTTTCCAAAATAGCCAAAAGCTAAAATGATGCCTCTTTTCTAAAGTATTCACTAAATTCTTCAGGCAAAGCTAAGCCTTATTCTAGTGATCCAATTTTTTTTTAACATACGCATCAATGCCCACACTTACATATATGCCGTACATTAGATCCCCAGACTTGTTCATGTTATAACTGAAAGTTGGACCCAGGGTTGAGTAGTCTAGCACAGTGGTAAAGCATGTGCTTAGCATGTGTGAAGACCTGGCACCAAAAAGGAAATAAAAGTTTGAACGCTTTAATTGACTTTGCCCTATTTTTCCCACCCTTCAACCCCTGAATTACTGTACTATTTTGTTTCTATGAGTTTGGCTTCTTTTTAGAAGTATTTGTCTTTCTGTGTCTACTTATTTCACTCAGCATAATATCCTTCATGTCCATCCATTTTGTCATATATGAGATTTCCTTTTTTATGGCTGAATAAAATTATATCATATGTGTGTGCGTGTATGTGTGTGTATGAGTGTGTGTGTGCATCCTTCTCTTTATCCATTTATGTGTTGAGAGACATTTTTT